GTGTGTGTGTGTGTGTGTGTGTGTGTGTGTGCGCGCACCCTGAGAGAGAACTGCTCTTACAGTGGTGCAGATAGGATTAATCACAGCTGGAGTGTAACTGTGACAGTGACCGGCCTTTATCCCTGCCAAGTCATTATTTAATTAGCAAACAAAGCTGGACAGAGTCGAGATGACATCAAAACACTTCACGCTTTCAGCTCTGTGTYRGTGTGTGTGTGTGTGTGTCTGGGTATGTGTGCTGCTTTTTTATCAGCTCAGCAAACKCTCTTCCTTTGAGTGGAGAATCAAAATGTCAGGAAATAAACCCAGATTTTCAGTTTGTTATTCTTCAGCCCAGAAGAGACGAGGCAGTGGAAAAAATAAATAAATAAAAATGGGGGCACCTGGTTTTCTTACCGAGGTCAAATTCATTTAAATCCTAATTCGAATGATGAGCACAGAGTTGGGTCTTAAAATGCATCTGATTAGTGGTGAGTTTGAACATTTTAAATCAAAGATTAAATATTAAAAATGTTAAAATAAAAGAAGCAGCAAGTCATTGTTTTGCAAGTCTCAAGTCTTTATACTGAAGTCTCGACTCAAGACAGTGAACTGTCAATAGTCTGAAACTTAGAATTTCAAGTTTTTTTTAACAGTGTTGCAGTTATATGTTAAATGTAAATAATAGAACATGTGATTTTCAACTTTGTTTTTATCTCAAACATGACGAAACGTGTGCAGCTCAACTTATAAAGTTTTTTAAAATCACGTTAAAATTGCACCTCTGTATTGCAAAGTTCAAATGAACTTAGCAGCACAAGTAATCATCCTTTAAAGGGATCCCTGATTAGTTGTAATATTAGACTTTATTTAATAAACATATATTTTAACTGTAAAATAAGGACTGTAAAAATACTGTAGGATCTTCAGGTTTCATCATTTTTGAACTAAAAGTTTAAAAATATATTACACGGACGGGACCATTTTATTTACACGCAAAGCATTCTGGGTAAATGATGACGTGGATAGGTCCTCGGTGCGAGGCTGCTAGCGAGCTATATCCACCCTGAAGGTTAATCTTGGACAATATCTGATGATTGGCACTTAAAGGGATCCACGATTAGTTGTAACATTAGACTTTATTTGATAAACATTTATTT